CCAGTGAATTCTATCACATTTTTCTTCTTCATAAGCAGTGTATGTATGTCAGGGCGATGTCCACCGCATTCATATATTGGTGAAATTCAACTGAACGCAACAACCATCAACTCCTCCCACAAAGCAACTCTACACCCATCAAATTCAAATGTTTTTTTAAAGAGGTAGAAGTCGGAAAAAAATTCATAAGTGTAAAGTTTGAAAGATGCAGCCCTCCCTGAATTGCTTGTGTCTCTGATTCCAAAATGTCTGGCCCTCAAGCTAACAATATTGCCAAGTCAGCTTACTCTCTAAAAGCTTTTACGGGTAATATGCAAAAAAATCTTCTTGTATGAGGTCCTTGTGGCGGGTCTAATGCAGGTGAAGTGAAGGGTAAAGAGGCAAGTGATGTGTCCATTAGTGTTCCGTGCAGTGGTGCAGCCCAAATCTCAGTCGATTACGACTTTCTCCGAAGGACCCCAGTGAAATGGAGGGTAAGTTGATAATTTTGGAACAACCGTAGAAGAGCTCTCTCTGAATTGTCTGCAATCACGTCCTGTCTCTCTTTCTCCGTCTGCAAATGGCATTTCTCATTCACAGATCGGGTAATTCCTGGCGACGTCTTCGCCGGCAAACACGCTAATGAAGGGGAATTTTCTGGCCCACCATCACCACATTTCATTACATTTGGGAAAATTCAAATCATTGACGAAGCTATGGGACGGAAGGTGAGTTTTCTTTTTCTTATACTGGGAAAAACATTCACGTCCTGCAGAGCACGTTTTCTTACCGTCCTAGACTTTGATTCCCCAAGTGCTCTCAAAAGAGGGAACCAAAACAGGGTAAAGGCAGTAGCAATCTTTTCTCATATTTAGGGGAATAGACGCTCCAAATGGACGTACTCCGCTTCAGCTGATCAACTCTGGGGTCTACCTCTTTGTAAGAGCCTAGCACAGGAGAAAGTAACCAGTTTTTCTCTCCCAAAGTTCCTTACTCCAGGGGTTCCAGGTTCGGTCTTTCTTAAGCACCCATAGGGAATAAGCATCAGGACTAGTTCAGTCTGCAGTTTACCTCCTCTTATTCTTCCCCATCAGCTAGAAGAAGTGCTAAATGGGGTCCTCGCAGGAGGTTCTTAATGGTTACCTTACCCGTCTGAAGGTGTTTTCTCGTCTCACCGTCACCGCGATAGTTCCAAATAGTCCATTGGGGATGCTGTACACCTTTCGCCGTTCCTCAATTCAGATGGAGATTCTCTATTGTTCTTGTAGCTTTCCCCCAACAGCTTATATGACCTTTAAGTAATACCTGCAATACATTACATTTCTAGCCACAAGCTCTTAGTCGCCTCGTGTTTTCCCTTATTTTAGTAACTTATTACTTTCTCCGTCTATTTATATCAGACTTTGCTAAGGATTGTGATTGGAAATTCTAATTTTACGACCTCTACTCACACCCGAGGGCCCAGTCTGTCTTTACCCATGTTGGCGATTTTTTATTGCCGACATCCCCCTCCCACTGCAAGAATTTCGGCTTTCAGCACAGTGTGCGAGATTGCTACTGTATCTTACCGTAACTCAAATCAGTACTGATCAAATGTAAATTTCACTTCCCACTACTTTAAGACCGAAACTTTCAGCAACTCTCTTTATCCTGTTAACGTTTTGCAGAAATTTAATTTATTTCTTCATACAAAACTGACTAGGTCTCATTTCTGGATAGCCCCGGAATCATGGATGATGCATGAGATCTGGGCTCTCAATAAAATTCCAAAAAATTGATTTATGTTCAATTTTACAGCATTTTGCCATAAAACCCTTTATAAACAGATCTCAGGAGCACAAGTATGTACCAACTGCAAAAAGCAGAATTTTCAAAATTTCTTGCCACTTCTAAAAATTTATAGGAAGTTCAGCTTTCCTCGGGGTACGGTAGTAGGCCATTCAAGCCCGAAGTCTAAAAACTTCTTGAATTTTCATCAAATCATAAGTATAGTAAATATTGTATCAGGTCGGCAACTGAGCGGCTGCATATATGTATTTTTGTATGTTTTAAATATTTATCTCAATCATAATTACATGTTTGAAAAATTACTTACATATAGAGACCGTGTACCTAAACCTAAATATCATTCGGTCAATATGTAAGTGTAATTTTTTTCGTATTAAAGGTACATAAGTAATTTTTTTAGAAAGTATAGGCAATTATTAACCAAACGGGTAGAGGATTGTCCGGAAAATCTCGACAGTAGGTCGTTTAAAGCACGAAATTCGGGAATGCTTCGGGATTACATTGAGCAATAGATCATTTGGTACTCAAATGGGCTCCCCCTTTCTCCTCAAATGACCAAATATAGCCGTGTTGGTGTGGACTTTTTGACACACTTGTCGAGAATTCTTGGAAATTCTCTAACGACGTTTTCGTCGAAGCTTTTACTTCACTTCACGAAAGGTTTTTGGATATGAAGAGTGCAAAGATGTCAAGTAACATTAGTGGGCCTAACTATGTATGTAACAATAATTACTGAGCAAATTGCACAGCCAAGGAAGTAGGCAAGATATTGTGGAAGCATCGGACTGGCATCTACTGTGCCAGCCTATTCTCACAACTTCACAAATTATTCGCTCTCGTCGATATTTTACAGACTAAATGTTTATTTTGAGCTGTCGAAGAATAAAAGTGAGCCAGTTTTTGACAAAAAAATTATTCATCATAATTCAGTATTTCTTTGCGCACCCGGGGTCGGAAATTTCCAATTCACGAAAAAATTTCTAGTACTAAAAAAAAAGTTCAGATAACCCAAGTATGCACTTCACCGTTTTCGACCTTCACCAAAGCTAGCATCCTGGCCCCCTTCAGTGTTGCTCTTGGGATAAATTTTAGTGATCAGATCTTTTCGAGGTAATATGAAAATTCTAGCCACAAACAATTTTAAAAGTTCAAGTCCAACTGGAAGTTTGCGAATAAAAGGAACTTTTTCACGTATTTGGAGTTCTCCGGATATTTTTTTACTGATGTTTTGTTCTATTTGTGAAAAAGAGANTTTTGAATGTGATTTGAATATCCTCCGCATTCTTTAGCTTTTTCTGGCGTGACATCCAAATTATATCCAGTTTTCAGAAATAATTCTAGAAGAAAAAAATCTCATCAAGTTCAGGTAGGATAAAAATTTTGTGCACAGGATGCAAAGAATTTTCATCCTATCCAAACTGTACGAAGTGTACGAAAACTCAGATAGAATCCCGTTAGCGATTTTTACTCATCCGGAAGCCCCCGCATGACTTTTAAATATGTGAGTTACTCAACTATTACTTATTTATCATTAATGACAAAAGGCCACCGTTTCGATTGCTGCAACTGAATATAGGCTATCTTCTGCGAGGGTTCACCTACTGGAAACCCTCATTTCATCACTTAAGATCGAATACCCTAATGACAACTTTTGGGACAGGGGCTTGTAACCTTTACATCAGGATTTATCGAGATTGAGATCTTCCTCGAAGTTTTCTTCATTGAATTTTCGCACCAAAGGTATGGACACTGGATCAATCCTTATGCGCGCGCGTCAAGCGACAAACTCGCGCTGCTATTCGTCTGCCGTCAAATTCATTTTTAAGTTCCGTTTTTCAGAGAATCTTGACCGAATTTGTATGAAGGCCGATACTGTAGGGAGCTAATTTCTAAGCTAAAAGACCCTTGCAAATTGTTACATACATTGCATACTTTCCAAACGTTTCAGCATTTTTTGCTAGAAACAGGATGCACGGCCCAATACAGACTTGATCAAAGTTGTCCCTCGATGAACCAACTTAATGACGAACTGAAGAGTTTTCGATTTAACTTTACAAAGACTGGTTCATAAGTGTATTCGTCAAAAGGAAAACGAAAGGCAGCATAACAACGGTATTATGGTGATTTTCATGGATCCGGACAGTAGGCTGGTGGTCTCGAACGGATTTGCATTGTAACGAAACATAATCGTCACCGTTCATTGCCGATTCGTGTGATCGTCCCTCGTCTACTCGTTCTCGTTTACTGGTAACTCCTGACGTGGAATGCTATGTAGGTTAAAGGTTCGTCATCCCGCGATAGAATAGAATCCATCACGTCATCCCACGACGATCGGCACTTGTCCGGCATTAAATTATTCTGTGAAAAATTGCTCATTCCCATTTTTCAAAGACCGTAGGTTTGCTGAACGTTTGTCTTGAATCCATAGCAAGGAATAAATGAATTCTCTGCTTGAACTCCCACTCTTTTCCCTTTTTCATTTCCCGTTTTTCTTCCTTTTTTCTGATATGGGAAGCAAATAAACTTTCTGAACCCGTCAATGGATTAGATTTTGTCTGCGAAAATTTGCGATTAACTTTTCTTTGTATCTCAGAGCCTATTCAATGATAGAAAAGAGAAACCGTTCGTATTGATGGGCTCCATCGGGATGCGCCGTGCGCTCAACAGCCATCAAGACTCTCAAAGTTGTTTGCATGTTTTCTTTGACATTTCGATGAATTCCGCTAGATAACCCATTTGCAAACGGTGGTAACTTGATCGTCTAGAGGTTCAATATCAATTATGTCATTCGATCTGATAAGAACCACCTTTGGCATGAGTGAGAATCGTTCTCTGATAAGGCTGCATGTGGTAGTGGCGCCCCTTGTCTTTGCGCTACTTTAGTCATTCTCTTCAGTTGGAAGTATAATGAGAAATTTGGAAATAGAAAATTCAGTATCTAGACATGCTCAAATTGATGTAAAAGGGATAAATTGAATTAAAAGGTGGTGATCTATATGATCCCGACGGAATAAGCCATGAATGTCACACCAACACAGAAACAAAAAAAGAAATTCAAACTCCTCTATCTAGGATCTTTCCCTCTCAATTTTTGAAAAAAATTAACTAGCGAAGTCCGGATGATACTACTCAAACTGCCTGACAGAACCTGATAAAAATGTGGTGTGATCTGGTAAAAAATGGAGTGAAAATGATGAAATATCATCGATTAGTAATATGCTTTACAGGAAAAGATGACTGCGAAAACAAGCTCGGAACGACGAGCGACGTTTGCACGGGAACCAGCCCGATCAGTTTCGGTACCACCACGGAAAAAATGGTTCCGTAAAGGTAAATACATTGATTACTTAGTTACTTATTTACTGTTCCCGTTCTCAGCGACTTTTTTCGCTGTAAACAGGCCTAGAGATCCCAATGGAGCATGCCACTACGTAGCAGGCTGCTCAGCTGGGATTCGAAATCGGAACTGTTTTTTTAGGGCAGCATACTTTTCCATTTTACCATAATGATTGAGATACAGCGCTCATAGACAAAAGAGGCCCGGACGTGGTACTTTGCACCGCGCCATTTGAGCTCGGCTACACTTTCGCTGAGTATGGATACTAGTAGGAAATAGTCGGGTGGCTAGACTCGGCGTCCAGACGGGGCTGGACTCAGCGTCCAGATAAGCTAGTCGTTGAGGCTTTGAAGAGTAAACAAAAATGCATGCAATACAATGTTTTGCCTTTTGCTGGGACCTTTTCGGGAATGAATGAAAATTGAATGCCTCCATTGACACTAGAGCTTTTGGCGAGATACTGTTTAAAAGCACGGCGTAGAATTTCTACGGTCTATTTCAATGTTTACTGGCGTTTGTTTATTTGTTCTTGATGCTGTTTGTTTTGTCGTTTCCTGATGACAGTCAGCAATTTCAGCGTCGCTTGGTCGAGTTAAATCACAAGAAGGTGTATGTGACGATGTGACTCGTAAGCTGGTAGGAGCCATCACTACATGGCATGACATCCAAAGTAGCCTACTTCGACTCAGTATCGGTAAGTCACCTTTTGAACCTGTCCATCTAGGTATTTAGTGTAAGTAGGTAGGAAATGGGGGAAGGATGGCACAACCACACAAGCAAGTCAATGAATATAACTCAGAGGCGCTCAGTGGTAAAGAGTACATCAGGTCGTTTAAACGGAAAGTTTCGAAGTCAATAGAAGGGTGATCACCTAGATTTCCGTTTTTTTTTCATGCCCCGGGCAAAAGCTCCCAAAGGCAATTTCCATGCCTAAACGAATAGTGAACGTCTGGTAAACGAAAATCCTATGGTATCTTACTTCTGAGATCTATCAAAACCTCATCTATATGAATTACTCCTCTCTTTATCCTCTCCCCCTTCTTCCTTCGGAGCAACGTTGATCATCCACATTTCATCAAAAATCGTTTTCTCCTATTAAGCTCTATTTTAGTGATTCATCCTCTCCAAAAAGTGACCAGAATTTTTTCCCCTACCGAATCTATTTTTAGATCGATCTGATTCCTCTCTAATGACGGATGATTCTATGGAATCGTCTAGCTCCGAGGAACCCTTACATGGTATGTATATTTTTTTATTTTTAGATTTTACGAATTTTAGTCAAGTTTTAAGTAAGCAATGTGCTTCGGAACTAGCACAGCCGGAAAACCATCGGGTTGAGGTATCAATGAGAAATTTGAAGAAGCATCAAGTGAAAAGTGGAAAAACTGATAAACAAGTAACAGAGTAGATGAACGTCGTAATTAAGTAAACAATCATTGCAATATATATTGTAAATATGACGAAAATAAGATGTACAATAATCAAATATCATAGTAACCGAATAAACGGGCAGTGTTGTAACACCAAGAAACGCGCTATCACACGGCTCCTGGGATCAAATCCTGACTGATTTCCGCTTAGGCAGACGAGGCCTTCCATCTCTTCGGGTTCGATTAATTGCTAGCCAGGCTTGCATGGGAACATAAAATGAGTGCTGTAAATTATCTGATCCCCGCGAGTCAATGTATAGGCCCTATAATTGAGATGATTCTGAAAGAAAGTTGTATGCGGGGCGCATCCCAAGAATGGGACAGATCTACGCCGAAAAAGCATAACTTATAGCATTTAAATTATGGAAAATTGACCAAAATTGATTTATATAAATTATTTTTGTCAAGATTATAGTAAATAAGTAATTGGGTGATAACAGTTTAGATGAACTTGTTAGTAATCATGATCTTTTGCTTAGAAAATGGTCATATGGAAGCGGAAAGTCCTCGAGTTTCAATTTCGAATCCAGAATTGACATCGATTCAGATCAAGCACATGTTCCCCGAACTCAGCGAGCATTGGAGGTACGTGAAGCTTTGGTTCCACTTTCAGATCCATTTTTTTGAATTTTTCTTCAAAATTTCAATTTCTTTCAGTTTTTTTTTTCAAATTCCTCCGAATGTTCATGTTAGAACGATTGTACTGTTAATCTTGAATAAATCTGCAAAATTGTTGTAACTCAGGTAAACCAGTACCGTTAGGATTTGTTATTCTCTCATCTCGTATCAACATCCCTCAATTGCAGTTGTGGGAATCCCTGTTCCTTCTCGAGCAGCTGTCAAATACCGTAAATCTGATGAAGCCTGAAACCCTTGATGACTTGCTTATTGAGAATCGACTCGTTGAAAGGTCTCCTGTTGGGTTTCTTCAGGAAAAAAAGTTTCCCAAGAATCGTCCCCGTCCTCATATTCGAACTTACCTTTCGGGAATAACCGACCTAGCGGAAAAGGTCGATTATGGGTTTTCTTGAGGGCTTTGCAATATTCGCCTGCAATTCTTGTTGCAACAGGTATCCCTGGGTTATTTCGATGGTGCCCTCGCCCTTTTTGATTTCCTCTTGAGACTCTCACAGGTTACATTCGTTGTGCTATAAAAAAGCTTCGTAGTAAGAGTCGGGTAGATACGAATCAAGGGCTAATAGATCGAAATCTCGGCTTTTGTTACTTTTTCAAATAGGTTTGGGACTTATTGGGACCCTGTCTTCCGTGCTTGATAGAACTTTCTCTCTTCACCAAAGGAATTCTTGCAACTCGCACTTCTTCTCGATATTCTTAGTCGTATATCACAACCATCGGAGGCTTCACTTCCTAGAAACTCTTTTCAAACTACGGATTACTCTTAGAGAATGTTCGGCATCTCCTCTTTCATTCTTGGAAACCCTATTTCGAATAGAATTGGTTACGGATCGTATTTACTGTAGCGGCGTCACTTATCAGTTTTTGGGCTCACTCTAAATTTGTTCAAGGTTTATCTGAAAACACAAATTTGACTGAATAGTAACTCAAAGCATCGGACTTCTGGAAATTATTCTGCCTAATAAGAAAGTCACGGCTCACCCAAGGCCTAATAGTGGGTAGCCTTAACCCTTCCGGTTGTGAAGTCCAGCAGTGAGGAACCCTTTTTTTCAAATCAGAGTCGATGTGCATCGGATTGACTAGATTCGAGACAGTCGTTTCGGAAAACGTTTGGTGAGGGGAAAGGGAGTGGAGAGGTTCTACTGGCAGGGCTTTTATTCGGGATACGGGCAGTAGGAACGGTTTTGTGCAATCGATCCGCCGCACACGGCTGCCACGGACCATTTGCCTCATTATAACAGTTCTAGCGTTCTTCATGCAAGTCAATCGCTATGTGATTATTACTTATGGCATGATTCTACTGTTACTTTTTTTCGCTCCTGAATTTCTTACTTGCTGCTACATTCTGCTACATTCCTTCGCGCGCGGCGTCTCTCGCCGCGACGCGACAATTCGTACCAACTCCAACACAGCCCTGTTATTCTCTACCCCATGCTTGACTCTGTTCTCCTTGGTCGAGAACGGAGGGGACCTGCACCGTGGAGCTCTTGCTGGATATTTCGGTAAGTTCTATTAGTTCATTTAAAACGTAATCTGCAAAGCCTTGGGAATAATTTCCGTCTTTACGACTTATGCCTTGCCAAACGATTATCTATTTTCTCAATCGGATGAACTCACCAGATGGTTTGAAGCTTCCCACGTGATACTCAGGAACTTGGGAGCGGGGCATGTGACGGGTGTGATTTTAGGAACCGATTAGCTTCCTAGAATCATGAGCTACGAGGATTAGAACTGAAGTCCTTATCGTGCCATGTACTTTCCAAATTTCCACTTTACGATTTAAAGCGAAAGCCAATGTCATGGCATGTTAGTATGACCTTAATCTAAAGTACTTCTGATCTGTCTTTATATTTCTGACTATCCGAATCCAAATCCTTCTTTATTTTCCAATCGAGATTTGTTTTCCCCCTTTCTGCATTCGTTGCTCGGAAAAATCCCTGTCTCGTGAGGAGTTCGTGGGTTCTCTTGAAACATCGGCAGGGGTTTGTGGAGTTTGCTCAAGTTCGAATTGTATTTACAGTATTGCCAAGTCGGAGGTGGTCTGGTACCAGATGGCTGGTCATTACAGCTCTTCTGTTCTTTGGGTTGTATCCCGGACCAACACCCACCCATGCATAGAAGACTCCCATTCCTTCATGATCGCTTTACTTGCATCAGTCTCCGTAACTGAAGATATAGCACATTGACCTAGGAAGTGGTTGGCTCGGAAAAAGCTACGTCAACGCTCTCGAAGACTAACACAACTTTGACAGGCAGTCAAATGCGTGGCGCATTCCTTATTTGAATCAGACTAGCGCCTGGTACTTCGCCCTTTATCCACATGATAGCTGCTTTTATAAATTAGATTTCAATTGTATTAAGAATGAAGACAGCCCCTCTTTTACTAGAACGGAACTCCACTGGAAAACCTAGTTCTTACCGTAATCCCACCACTGTTTCAAAGTACTGCTGGTCGTAAATTGTCGTAAAATCACATGTATCAGTGGATGTTGAAACCATTAGCTCTAGTAGAATTTCAGCATGGTCTTGGGTCCATTCTGTGGTTTCTCATTTTCTGTTGCTATCGGGCATTAGAGCAGGTGAATGGGCTTCCCTCTGATCATCACTTATCACTAATGCATCCTAAGCCGTCCACTATATACCTCCACCTTTATCTGTGAATTAAGCGAGCCATTTTATTGCCGTCTATACATCCGGGCGCCATGACATTCGTATTACAGCAAAGACGTATTCAGTAAATACTGCTTATCATAAGTAAATTACTGAAATAGAGGAAAGAAGGTGGTGTTTGTGAAGGCAGATATGGAAGCCCCGGGGGAAGCCCCACCTGTTTGCTTGGTGATAACAAAGATTATCTATCATTGTACTATTCAGGAAGGGGAAGAAGAGCTCGTAGAACATGTGGATGTTCATTCCAATCGGATTTTTGGGAGAGGAGAGAGAGGAGGAAGGAAGAAAAATAGATGAGAAAGGTTAGAGGCTGGATTAAGTGCCCCACTTAAGCTTGAGTTGTTTTACTTCTTAGAATGAAGCTTAACACGCCACGTTGTTTTTTTTTTTTGGGGGGGGGGGGGGGGGNGGGGGGGGGGGAGTGAGCCACGCATCCGACTTGTATTCAGACTTTAGGCACTTGTAAGATGTCTATCCGGCTTGTATTATAAAATGCCCGCGAAAGGCCGACTAAACTGAGTTAGGGCTTTACTTCTATCATTAGGTCACGGAAACAATTCCAGCTTTCAGTTGAAAAATGACTAGCTCAGATGAGTCGAGTTTATCCGGGATTTGATCCCTGGACTATGCGAGTCGTGGCGACGCCTCTTGCCACTGCTCACGCTTCCCCTTTTGCTACGTATTTTCTGAACAGTCTGCTGGTTCACCTCCCGAAAACTCCTACGAGGAATGAGTGAATGAATGATTGAATGATTGAATGAATGACTTTTCTCGTTTGGTGATGCCTCTGAATTTCAGTCAAGTTGAACATATGTACTCAATAGAATAACTCCTTAGTTTCTAAACTGGTTTTCGAAGTCAAGTTATCTTTTATTTACTTGTTTATCTTTACATTCACGTTCTTGATAAGATTCTTTGGTGAACGATCCGCCCAAGCGATTTCAGTAGAACTTTTCCCTGGGTTTTCCCCTGTTGTAGATGTAGAACTCAGGCGGATGAGTGGATTAGCACTGAAAAATGTTTCTAATGGCGTAGAGATCCCGCATGTGCGATCAGATAAACTAGAAAGAGCAATTTTGAGGGATACGCCGTGCACCTGACTTAATTTCATTATTTTCCGCTGACTTTCCACAGATTATTTTCTTACGACTTTTTGATACCTCCTCTACAACTGCACACAACTTAAAGGGCTTTCACGGATTCAGACCTGACTTACACGTTCCCCAGGGTGTTGACTTTTTACCTTAAAAGGGTGGTCTAATCTGAATGGGAGCCCTTACGTAGAAATGATGTAGACCCAAGGTTTTAGCCGATTTCGGTTACGTGCAACAAATTCTCCGGAGAGACATAATTTTGAGACCTCTCCAGATTAAAAACTTCATGCGTAGGGTTTCTAACAAGAAGCCAGATTAATGAATGGCCCTCGGTAGCAGATGACGACATCTTTCGTCTGCTAGGGTACTTACGTAGGCTCAGTGGAAACCCTTACCAATGGCGGTTTCAATGATCACGGAATTATCTCGGTAAATCGTGTAAATTATAGTAATAAACGATAATTGAATTAGGTAATTCAGTTGCAATTTGTAATTTACCCCATTTAATTACCGTGTATTGCTATAATACACATACCAATTTATATGGATAATGTGCATAAGTCAATAGAATAGCTGGAAACCATCTCGTTGTGAAAAACTATGGAATTCAGACAAATTAAACATAATTATTGGTGCGATTTTACCATAGACAGATCCGATGAGCCTTTTTCCGTTCAAGCTAGCGGAGCGTGTTCTGACTAGTGGGCTGCTACTGTGCACCACTTACAGCACACGAATTCAACGTCGAATTCTATGCTCGAACTCAGCCTTTCTTTGTCCTGGCCCTTTGATAACTTCCTTTGATCACCAACATCCTGAAACTAGAAGTATGTCAGATGCATGGCGTATCCCACTTGAATTGGATCAAGCTTGGGAATTGGGAAGCGGATAGAGGTTGTTCACAATTGCGGATAGAGGAGAGTAACGATTCCACAGAGCTAAAATTAAAAGCTCGTTTTGCATTGAGATCTGGCTAGTACCGAGAAATTCAAGAAAATTACCCAGGGATGAGTTGGTGATCAGGGAGGGCGGAGAGCGTTGATGCATATCGATAAATACATTGTAGTGGCACTAAGTCATCTTCGAGTCGCTTATTCCATCGTAAGACTTCTGGAATGCCCGCCTACACAGGAATGCCCACCTCCAAAAGAATGCCCGCCCCTTTCAAATGATCGATGACCTGTGCATTGATAGGAGAACGCAGACAACTCTTTTGACGTCTCTGAGTACCGCCTATTGCTATGTGGGTCTTAGCCTGGAAGGAAATATTGACAATTAACCTGAATTTTTGCAAAAATAATTGATTTCAAGAGTTCAGATCTACTAAAACTGAGAATATGCTAGTGCATTCGCATTTATTATTTGAAAGTAAGTTTTTTAATTAGCCCTTACTGACACGTGCCCTGCAGAACCCAACATTCAGTAGTAATAATCGTATTTTGGAATTGGTTTCCATAAATTTGAAATTTCTTCTCCATTAGGGCATTCACATTATGAATAATTAAATTTGCTACTGAAGTAATGTCTAATGATTTCTGGATTTCCAGACGTTTTCCTTTCTGAATTGTCTTCATTCAGTTTTTCACGCTCACATTCAGTTGGAAACAATATGGCCAAACTTTTTTTTCAAGTTACCGTAACCAAAAATCAAAATTTGGGTTTTCCTAGTTCGTTCGTAGAATCGTTAAATAGGATATTCCGGAATTTTTAGAATTTTTGAGTTTTTACTTTCTGAATAAATGGTTCCATAACCTTTCCTTTACATTTTAAAATCTATCTGAACAACGTAGAATTGCTTAGTTGTTTTCCAATGCTACTTTTACCCGAGAAATTGCGTGAGATTCAGCGCTTGTTTATCTGTTTAGCTATTTATTCATTCACATACACGACTCTCTCTCGTTTGTTTACATGTTTACTTCGTTTTTCATCCAAAACCACCTATAGCTCCTCCCTATAACACAGGCGACATAAAAGAAATGAAGCAAATTTAAATATTGAGATAAAAAAAAAGAGTGGGTAGTACAAATTCGGTTTGAAATTAGTATCAAAAAAGAGCAGATAAATTGTCAGTAGTACTAATAGTAATAATAATAATTATGATAATAATAGTAAAATAGTAGCATAAATAGTAAATCTAATAATAATAATATTGATGATAATAGTAATAATAGCATAGATGTCAATGCGCTAGTAAGTAGAGGTAATTTGGAGGAAAGTTTATACTCGGTACCTCGTCTATGAGACAGGCTCTCTTGCTCCGATATATTTAAATTTATTTATTTTTGTTTTCTAGTCATTTTTCGTTCCAGCAATACAGTACAAGGATGTGTCCCTCCCTTTAAGGGTATGGGTAGGGTAGGGGTGTCACTATCGGATTCGAGTTTCTGATTTTTGAGAGACAGCTAAAGTTGGTAGTAGCACCCTGATACATTAATTTATTTACTACTTAAATAGTAACCGTCCCATAACTTTGTTATCATAAAAAGGCTGCTACTTATATCTTGTTTCGGCTTGATTATGATCTTCTTTATTATTATTAGTTACACTATAAGGTACACTTTACTATTACTTATAAATTCGAATGACGAAACGTAATGGAGACAGCTAAAAGGGTAAGCAGTGTCTAGATGCAGTAAATCATCTACATACTGCGTACTGAAATAGTAACCTCCATAAAACTTGGTTACCTAGGAAAAACGCTATTACTTACACTTATCGAATACCTATCGAACGACCTAACGTAATAATAAATGGCGAATGGAATTCTAGTCAACAGCGAAGAACTTCACATAGGCGTATACGAACCCACTACTTCGAATATCGTCGTTTCCTCCTGTTTTATTCAAAATCACCTCACTTTCGGAGCAATAATTTTCAATTTTTCGAATAAACTTTTGCAAGGCTATAATAAATTACTAATTTTGCATGGCTCGAATTATCCATTGTTAATCAAATGGTTGCTGAGGGACAATTGCTGGCATTTTTTCGGAATTTTTAAATGAGCTCTGAGTTTCTCGATGTACTCATTCGACAGCTTTTTGAACAACTGAATTTCGGACAAATTTGTAAGCAATCCTGAAATTCCTACCAAGTTTTTCTCGAGTATTACTCAGTACTAATTGAGAACTCATTTTGGAAAAGAACCAGGCAAGTCGAAAAATCTCAACTTTTTTCACTAATTTCATTCTCTCCACTAACTCCACCTCCTTCCAAAACTCCACCCACCTTGAAGATTTGACACCTAATCTGATGTATACCAAGTCGACAGTCTTTCTTATTGGTATCTTTCATATTCTTCATTTATGTGTCTGTCTGTCTGTCTGTCTGTCTGAATGTATGTATGTATGTATGTATGTATGTATGTATGTATGTATGTATGTATGTATGTATGTATGTATGTAT